GACATACTAGTTTTCTCTTATCAAACCGTTTGATTAATGTCTCTTACCAAACACTCCACATACAAAAAGAAAGCACAGTCACTTCCTTCTCTCACAGACACTCCTATTTGTGAAGTTTGGATAAGTCTCATATTTTGTCCACATGTTTACATTTGATTTAAAAACAGACACACTGACAGGTAGGAAGAACAACAGCTTTGAAGCAAATGCCCTCCTTCCGGATGTCTTAACAGCTCCCTCTTCTGGACTGATTCCTTCTTTTATAACGACCTAGATAAACTTTTTCAGATACTGCCATGTGATGAGGGTGGACCATAGCTCATAATTGTTATCCAGATTTGGATAGCTTCTATTTATCACTGTATAGTTTACCTGTACCCAGTCTCCCTTCTGGTGACTTGCATTTGTAGTCTAAAAGCCTGCTTTTGTTTTGTACGTTTTTTTGCTTTATTTTCCACAAGAGATAAATGATGTTTGTCTTTGTTTATTTCACTGAGCATAACATCCTCTATGTAATCCACATTGTTGCAATGGCAGAGTTCATGTTTTCACGGCCGAGTAATATTCCATTGTGTGCTGTCCATTTTCTGTATGCAGCCACCCATTTATGGACACTTAGGTTTTTCCCAGTTCTTGGCTATTGTCAGTACTGCTGGGTGAATCTGGGGGTACACATACCTCTGTGAGTTAGTGTTTTGTATCCTTTAGACAAATACCCAGAGGTGAGTATACCCCAGGCTCTTCATCCCACCTCATAATCATGAATTCCAGGCAGAGTGGAATACTATTGAGTGTGTGGTTGGAAAAAATACAGCTCATTTATGCATAAAGTATCTAGAACAAACTCTTGTTTTCTCTCCAAGATTTAATTAAAGCCCACAACAGAGTGTAGAAATAGTCTCCTTGGTTGGTCACTCTGAAAGTTTCAAGGATGGCACATTTCACGCATTCCTTCCCACCCAGAGAAAGTCCCAGTCCTACAAAGTCCTCAGGAGCAATGGACAAATCCCTACTGCCAGACTACACGGTAAAGGTGACATGGAAGACTCTGCAATTACTTCTTCTCTGTGCATAATCCTCTCACTCCTCCTCATGGCTGAAAACAGAATTATGTACTCTGAAGCTGAGGCAGCTCCAAGCATGAGACCAGCCTGCCTGGCTCAGACCTCCCCTGGCAAGTGGAGCTGACATACTTCAAGCACAAAGGAGACCCCAAGAAGCTGACAGTTTGTCTTGCCAGGGAGCTCCCGCATACCATACCTGCCACACACACGAGCTTATTTTTCCAGCTCTTTATTCCAAAACACATGTAATCAAAACATGATTATAAACCTGTTTCTCTTGCCCCCCCGGCCACACCCTTCTTGTCCACTCCACAAGACCGAAAGGTCACTGACATGGGAGGGGGGAGCTGGGAACAAGCTACTTTAGCTTGCCACTCGCAACCAACTCAGGGTGTCATAAAGGTGGGGGAGTCTCCATCAGCAGGAAGGAAGCAGCCCTGTGTCGAGTACCTCTGTATGCCAAGTGCTCATTCCACATAAAGCCCCGTATTTCTCTCGTTGTTTTCAGGATAGTCCTGCTGCTATCATAGTGGAAGTCACCGCACCAGACTTTAAAAAAAACAAACAAAACAAACAAAAAATTGCTTTCCAGAATTTTCCATTTAATATAATTTCAGCCACTCAAAACTGAGTTTTCAAGTTTGTGTCTCAGCTATATTTTCCTTTCTTTATTCAGGCAGTTTGGCCTTTTGTTTGTGGCAGAAAGAAAAAACAAATTACATAATATTTAATCCAACAGATAGGAAGGAAGGAAATGCCTCCTGTTGTTTCAGAGACTTAAAAAATGTAGGTGTGGTGCACAGCATTTACCCTAAAAGACTCGGACCTTAGCATTTTTCTTTTCTCCTTTTTTTTGGGGGGGTATAAAGTCACTAAGGTTGCCCAGCAGCAGCAGGCTATTGGTGAATTAGTTTGGGGACTTCGACAGTTTTGCCCCTGCATCTTCAGCGTCGCGGGGGTCAGTGCTCCAACTCCCTGGATTGTTCAGGGTGAAGTGTGTATTACAGGTCGGATGCTCAGCACTGTGTTTTAAGCACACAGTTGCCTGATTCTCTCTGTGCCCTGCCTCTGTCACTGCCGTGCGACCCTTCGTCCCCCGGATCAGAGCCACGCTCCCGCCGCATGTCCCTTTCTTCCCCACAGCCCCGCCGCCGTCACACACCTGGACCGACCAGGTGGGCACACGCATACGCTGCCCAGGGCACCTATACGCTGCCCTGGCCCAGGCACTCAAGCTGTTTCCACAACTTGGCTATTGGCAGTAGCGCTGCAGACCGGTGCAGGCCCCCTTTTGATTTAGTGTTGGTGTGTCTTCCGGTAGCTTCCTAGAGTGGACGTGCAGGCTTGTACTTTAGATCTTTGTGACCTTTTAAAACCCTCCATGCTGTCTTCCACAGGGGCCAGGCGGTCTACTTTCCCACCAAGTGTATGGGGGTTCCTTGTTCTCCACATCTTTGTGAACACTGGTTGTTTCTGGTCTTTTCTTTCTTACAATCCTTTCATGGCTGTGTGTGGCCCGGACACACCGGACTGCCTCTCTGCGCCTGCAGAGAGGGCATAGCTGTGCCTGAGACCACACAAAGGCACCGGCCCTGAGCTGGACTGTCACCTGCAGACACGGGCAGGCTTCAGGGCTGCCGGGCGCGGCACCCAGACAAGGTCGGAAGCATGCCATGCGGCTGTTTCCCCTTGGGGAGCTGGTGCGTCAGGGACCCCGGAGGCTGGCCTTAACAGATGCCTGTGGGCTCCTGGCCGATGGGAGAGGCCAGCGCTATTGGAAGCAGAGGGGCGGGGGTCCTAGTTAGCGTCAGCACTGACATCTATTTTTCTGACCAAAGGCGGGTCACTGGAGATGCTGAGTGCTGTGCGGGTCTGAGATGAAAGTCCGTGAGACACCCTCCACGTCTCCTGTTTAAGTCCCTCACCCCTTCGGGGCCTTGGGTCCTCATACAGATTCAGGGAGGCCAGTGCCCCTTTGCTCCCACTGAGACAGTTAGGCAGGCAGGATGTCTTTTGCACAACTTCCCTGTAATTATATTCAGGATGTAATTATATTCAGATGCCCGTCTGTGGGCAGCGGGACTTCCAAATTTTTCTTGATAGAGCGGGGACTTCTTGATTTGAGCGGGGACTTCCAAGAGGCACCACTGATCCCTCCTGAATGGAAATGAGACTCAGATACGGGGTCTAGATTATGCTCATGGGCCAGAGAATGAACAGACTTCAAACACTTTGTTTCTGCCAAGGCGATTGCACTTTTTCTTTTCCTTTCTTTAAACATGAAATTATTTTTCCATTCACTTTTCCAACTGAGGAGAGATAAAAATGGCACTGAAATTTCCAAGACCACTTAACTGGAGAGGTCTGGGAAGGGTTGAAAGTTTTAAAGTCTGGTTTGGGCTCATTTGAATGAGGAAAAATAAAACGTCTGTCAGATTTGCAGATCAAAGACCCACGCACCAGCCTGTGGACGGGTGGAAACCTCAGTGCTTTTCTTCTCCATCTTTCCAGGACACCAGTGGGTAGCCCGTCCCATGGGCACAGGGCCTCACATGGTGTTTTCATCAGCTTCTCTCCGTGGGCCAGAGCCATGGGGAGGCCGGACTGGGAAAGGACAGTGAGTTACATGGTAGAACAGTGACAGTTTTAAACACCACGTCAATCTCCTGTTACTGCTCTTGGCTTCTTCCTGTGCCCATCTTGATTTTATATTTTTGTAGCTCTGAAAGGACATTAAGTTGTTTGTCTGAATACCAAGTATTTTTGAATGTTTTGCCCCCACTTATAACTTTTAAAATATGCTGTGGATAGTAAAAATCACCTTCAGTTTTACCAGTACCAAGTTTTTTATGTGAAATACAATTTTTTTTTATATGCCACTCGTTACAGTCATACTTCCTGATAGCAAATGACAGAAGTCCAAACTAACTTATCAGCAAAGGACTTCATGGGTAGGCTGTTGGACAGGTTAACTAGTGGGGGAAACGGGAAGTTAGGCTGACTGGTCAAGAATGGAGGGAGGACAGTGGCAGAGGATGTGGTGAGGGTCATGCCACTGCTGTATTCTAGACAGAGCCACCCGAGTCTGCCCGGTCCCTGGACCCGGGCACCAGCCTCTGTCAGCGCCACCGTGAAACAGTCCGTTGGGGCTCTGCACCTTTGCTTCAGTTCCTGCACGGGCAGCATTTCAGGGGGTAGTTTCTGGGGGTGCTACCGAGCTGTTGGGGGTGGAGAGAGAGCCTGCGAACCCCTCCACCCTGCAGGTTTGGGGAATGTGGGGCCAAAACCATGATAGGAGCCGTCACTTCTGAATTTTCCCAAGATAGCACCCACACACCCTGTATGCCCCTCAGTACAAGGGTTTCATCCACAGCCACAAGAGGGAACACTGCTCGTATCCCCCTCCTGTTCCCCATGTTCTTTTCGCTGTCTTCATTCCGCCTTGTTTCTTTTCCTCTCGGTCTTATTCTCCCAGCCGTCTACAACACCATGCACTAGTGTCCACGCATCATCTGCCACCGCTCTAAAGTGCTTCACTTTCAAGGCCAGGTCATCCCAGGTTTGATCACAGAAATATGACAAGTCCCAATTGCGGGCATCGTAACCAGCATTATATCTGCAGCTCAGGAATCAGCGTCTCCACTGGAATATTCTGCTTGAAGATATTCTACAAAAGCCACTTGATACAGCTGCCCCCACCTCCACCCCTCCCCACTGCTAACACCCCCACTTAGCTGCTGAAGAATATTGTGTGTCTTGGTTTTGGATGGACTGACAATGCAGTATTATTTTCCAACTTGAAAAACCATGAATCACAGAAGGAGAACTATTAGATCTCAGTCACCAGAGAGGCTGATGTTTCCCTCCTCCCTCAGAATCGTTAACAAGAAGGAAAGAATCTGGATAAACAAAACAATGTAAAAAGTATCACATAAGTAAGAAGTCAAAAAATTAATTTTATTGAATAAAGAAAGTTCGTCCAGGGCTTATAGAGACCGTAAGAATACTTCAGGTTATAACAGCGGGGAGAGAGCAACAGCTGACAAGAAAGCGTGAAAGCAATGTAGATGTTCAACGTAAAAAAAAAAAAAAAATGCTACAGATATTTTGGAAAATTCCCCAAACTAACTCTAGCCAAGTTTATCGTTTAGTGGGCTTTCTCCCTCTTCTTTCAAGGGATGAAAAGTGAGACTCAAAGTATACGCTACTGGTTACATCTGTACCAGCATGGACAACCATGAGGCGTAAGCATAAATACCATATAAAAAGACATGATTTTAAAACTCTACTGTAGGATTATGAACTACAGTGAGTGGGAAGGAGACATTAAAACCAGCCGTGGCCACACTGCTCTGCACAAAGCCTACGGCAGGGCACACGGACGTTCCCGAGGGGGAGGCCGCGACGCCACCAGCAGCAGGGCACTGGGCCTGGGCGGCCGGCGGGCGGCCCCGAGGGCGGGCGGCTCAGGCTTTCTCCAAGGCCCGGTAGTACTCCACCAGCACGGCCCAGGCCTGGGGCGCCATGAAGCCTTCTGGGGGCTTCTGGCCTTCTCGGGCGAGTCTGCGCATTCGCGTTCCCGAAATGAACTCAAAGTCTTCATGGCTGAGAGAGAGAAAAGAAAATCATTCCATATTTTAGAGACTTGAAAATGGTTCCACATTTTAAAACCTGGATTCTAATGAAATGACTTTAAAATTTACAGAAAATTTAAATTTTTCTTTACTGGTTCCTTTTATCTATGGTAGACAAGCTCAAAGGAGGAAAATGTGGCGAAAACACAGGACTAGCTAGTGTTATTTCAAATGCATCACTACATAAAAATGGTATGGAAGGGCTCTGCCTGGTAGTGCAGCAGGTTAAAGCACAGCGCTAAGCTAAAGCCAGAGGTGACCCACAGGGCGCGGCAGACATCTCCTGACCCACTCTGCTCCCCTCAGCAGTGTACTTTGTTGACCTGCCTGTTCTGCTCCCCACTCTGTCTCTGGTGAATTGTCTCACTGTCCCTGCACCTCTGGCCTGTACCTCAGTTCTGTATGAATAAATAAATCGTTTATGTTTATATATATATATATATATATATATATAAAATGACTCCTAGAATTAAGGAAAAATTTTTAATTGTTTTACTGGTCACTGAGATGCACGTGCTGCTGACAGGGAGGCCTCCCACTACAGAGCACCCCAGTCAGGCTGGCAGCACAGAAGCAAGTCCTGTTGCTATCCACCCTTTGGGTGTTACCAGGTTCTGTGTAATTTTACACAGCAGGTTCTCAGATCTCCCTCAGGTAAGAATCAGAACAGTTCCCAAGCCCTGTGATCCTGGGCAGCCTTCTTAAAATCACTCCCACCCCTCCCCAGCCCCTGGCAGTTGCTGCTTTAGAACTAGGAATTAAAAGATTACACTAAATCTGCATGACTGAAAACTTTTTAGGAAAGGCAAAGTCACTGAGTCTTAAGAGAATTTTTAATAGCAAGTAAGGGGCAGTAATGTTGTTACTCACCGTTAAGCTACCACACCGGTAACTTTCCTTTTCCTCTCCTTTGCAGATTCTACAGCCCTTAGGCCCCAGGCCTGAGCACCTGTGGCTGTGACACATATTGCTGACTCCATCGTCTTCCTGAAAACATGGTGACCGACCTAGAGCAGATCAGGGCCCAACCAGAGTCCTGGGCCACTCAGGCCACCAGACTAATGCACCTCTGGCTCTTGGTCAACACTGCTCCCCTCGCTCTTGGTTATCTGTGGAGATAACCTGGGGATGGAGCTATCCATCGCTACATGGCCTGCCTGCACAGGGATGGCAGGTGCAACTTAAACCCACAGTCACACACCTGGGCATCTAGGTAAATAGATGTCATACTCTGCAAAAAGTTTCCTGAAAGTCTTTCTGTGGGGATGCAAATTGTGTCAGTAACATGCAGGGTGAAGGCTTTCAACAGGATGCTACCCTTCACCTCAACACCACTGCCATTTCACCAAAATGGGAGAGGGGCCCAGGGGTGAGAAGGCTGCAGTGAGACACAGATGCTACTGGTGGTGACTTCTGCGAAGCAGTATCATGAACTTTTAGCTCATCAGGTTTTCTATGATAAGTTCAAGAAATTACCAAGATCAAAATCAAATTATTACCAAAAACAATTTTTATAATGCATAAAGTTCATTTTAAAAATCTCTATCCAAACAGGTAACAGGTGAATAAGGCTTAACAAAGCCAGAAAGTTCTGCACTGATTTCCATATTATCATGCTAACCTAAAACGAGGTACAGGTAAAGAACAAATATATAATTGGGTTTTCTAATACAGACATACCACTCCTCCCCTAATTATGGCTCAAATATATAGTAAAATAAAGACAACACATTTAAAATTAGTTTGTATCTATTAACAGTCACATAGTAACTCCCCACGTAAAATACATGCAAAATCTGAAAACACAGGATAAGACTTGTTGGAAATTGTAAGCAATCACAGTCAGTTACAAGTTTTCAGAAGAAACTTCACAGCTTGTAAAAACAAAGCATTTTATAAATTCATGGAAAAAGACAATCCTGCAAAAACAAATACTTGGGTATTGGGCAAAAACAACAAGATGAGAGCAGAAAGAAAGGAATTCACACAAAACGTTTTAGTGGTCAGCTTGACAAGACTTGAATGGGAACAGGGTTAGGGGGATAAAGGTCTCTATGGCCCTAGAATGGAGTTTCTCTGAGTCACTGTTTAGTGACAATGAACCTACTCAACTTACTAAGTGTGAATAGATGATGTGTAGTATGATTCCTATCAATAGCTTTTCGCCTAAAATCGTCACAAAGTTTGTTTTTTTCTCCCAGAGCCTTGTCTTACACTGGTATTTACTCAAATCAAAAGCTGCAAAATTATTAATTACATAAAAGCTGGCATTGAATAACATGCATTAATCAAGCACAAGACAACCTCATGTGGTCATAATTAATAACTGCCTTTGCATTACATCAAAGATCACTGCCCTCCAGAAATTTTTAATCACCTTCCATGACAGCCCCTTCAAGTTAATTGTATTTGAACACAAATATGAAAAATAGAAATAAGGGTGGCTTTAACACTTCTCAAGTTACAATTTATTCAGATTCAGTAACTCAAAAAAAGTGCCAAGAAAATAAACCACTCATGCATTTTTAAGGGGAAGGATGTCCTAGAGGAACTCTGCAGTCTGGTGGACTCCACCTCCTACTCCAGCTTTCTGGACTCTACCCCCCACTCCAGTGACTGGAAACTACAATTCCCAGCAGTACCACAGAGAGAACTGCGAGGACCCAAGGGCGGAGCTAAGCAGGAATTCTGGGACACTGGAGGATAAATAGGTGGCCACTGGGTCTCGTACTTGCTCAGGAAATGGCTCTCTGGACGAGGTGGCTCAGCGTTTTCAGTCAGCCAAGCTGGTAAGATATTCCAGTTACTTTGTGTCCTGCTCTCTTTCCCTGGGTTGTTTCCTGTTCCCTTCCCCTTTTTGTAAATAAACCCATTTTTGACCCTTTTTGTGCCTGCAGTATTAACTGAATTTTAAGCTTGTGGATGAAGCCCCACAGACAGGTGGCCCAGTTCACTCTGGCTGCCCTGTAACAATGCAACTAATGTAGAGTTCATCACTGGAAAATCATATGAGAACTGATGTAATTATTTAGCGTTTGAGTGATTAAAAGAGAGACTTAAAGCAATACTGCATACAGGTGTAATTCGAGGGGCCTGCTTGGGATCAATCAGCTGAACTCGCAAAGACACCTTGGTCGTGAAACACAAGGAAAGCAGAACAGAAAAGCTCAGCTCTGCCCAGCCTGGCTTCCCTGACTCAGCAAGATGAACATACATGGATGGTGTCTGGCCACCAGCTACCAGCCACCAGCAAAGTTGGTCCCATGGTGTGGTTGGAAGTCTGCTGTAATGTGGGCCACATTTCAGATCTTCAGAAACTAAAATTCCAGAACAGCTCCTGCCTTTACATGCACACAGGTCACAGGAGAAGAGTTTGTTCATATTTACCACACAAGTGACTCGTGTGACCGGCCCTCTTCCACTTATTCACACGCACGGTATTTTCCTGTATGTCAGCTACGGTTCATCATGCTGTATAGCCTGCTGGCCTCTATAGCTGTGCCTTTCCCCAGAATTATTCTTGAGAAGCCAACAAATTCCTCACATTCCACTGTCACTGGTTGTATTTCTTAAAAGGTGACATATCTATCTTAAAGAAATTAAATGACATCAAATTTTATGTCTCTAGAAATAAAACACATTTTCATTTTTAAAAGGTTTCTTTTTCTAGTTCTTGTCCCCACCATTACAACAAATGAGGACACAGGTCGAGGTTACTCCTAAAGACACTCAGCTATCACATCTCATGGAAGCGGCCTGAGCTCTGAGGCCAGAGGCGCTGGGGCACAGGCAGCTTTCTGTCTGTACCCCTCCAGGACCCTCAGGAGAGCAGACCCTGACAACACACAAAGGGAAGATGCTCCATATTCCATACCCTGTAGTTTGCACTAAAAAAACAAGCAACAAGTCCTGTCACGCTCCAACTGAAATGTAAAAGGCCTGCCATGTGATGCTGTCCTCACCCTGGAGCTGAGGGGACAAAGGGATGCGCCGGCTCTGCAGGAGTGGCTCAGCGAGCTGCTGACTCCTGAGACCCCTGCCTTTCTCATACAAGCCTGTACCGCCTGTGAGCGTATCATCGCAGAAAGGGGAACAGCTTGATGCCACAGGGACAGAGCACTCTCAGTACTCCAATCCTCCGGCTCCTCCTAGGGGCACAGAACAGAGCGATGCCCTCTCCCTGGTCAAGAGCACAGGGGCTGCTGCAGACCAGGGTCCCACCGCTGGGCTGCCCTGACCTACACTCTGCGACCATATACAAGTTACTTGATCTCTCTGTGTCTCAGCTTACCACTCACCTGTAACAAAGCAACAAGGCACCTCATGGGCTGCTGTGGGAGAGAAGTGATGCAGTACCCACATCACTTCTCCATGCCTGTCACCACGACCGTGCACATGCTAGGAAACCCCCCCAACCACATGGACACATCCCTGCTTTGCAGCGTGACCACCCCCATGCCTCCCCACATTTCTGTGCGCTCAGCAAAGACAGCAGACACAAGACAATGGAACCGCAACACCGCCCTCAGAGGCTTCACGACCGAACCCCTCGAGTCGCAAGCCACAGACCAGCTCCCCTTTGATTTCTCCTGCCTTCCCCTGGAAGATGAGGATTTTGTTTCCTTGCTTTGCCTTTCTCTGAAAAGAGGTATCACCCAGCCCGTCTTAGCAAAGGTGTGTGTGGGTCTGCTAATCCTAGGTGGCTTATCCAGCCTCCATTTTAAGAGCCCAACCCTATGAGGCACCTTTCACATCAATTAAGAGCATAAAGCTAATCACCCTGGGAAGGGTCTGCATCACAAGGTATGACCAGGAATGCCTGGGGGGGCACTGACTGATGTATAATGAAGGACCCGAGAAGCTGACCAATGGAAAGCCTTATTGAGAAGATTGAAATCTTGACTAGAAGAGTCAGGGCTGTTCTGCATACCAAACTATCAGCAGATACACAGTTCCACCTTTTGCCAGCTTCTTCTAATTCTCCCTTTCTTTTTCACTTCCTCACATGATTAATGCTGTATGATTAGTCTAATTAGTCTACCCATAGAAAGGCCAGGATCTTGCTCTTCAACAGCATCCTGCATTATGTAGCCTGTTCCACAATTCCCGTTTGTCAGTGTGGTGTTGCCTGATGCAACAAGTGTGGAAAGAGGTGAGACAGACATGATGGCCCCAGGGAGTGGGAGCTCCCATGTTTCCCAAATTTGTGCAGAAAACGGCCACTTACTGTTCGGAGTCATAGTAATCCATCCGTTTCTTTCTCTTGTTATAAGCGGCGACACGGAAGGGCACAATCTCCAGGGTGATGAGGCCGGGGGCCATCGTCAGCACTTTGGCCCCATGAGTGGGCTCATAAAGATCCTTTCCAGTTTCCGGATGAGGCATGCCAGCGGGGTCTCGTCCAACTATGTAAAAGTTGGCGCCTGCAACCATCCGCGCTCTGCAGTGCCACTGGACCTGGAAGAAACGCTTGCAGGTTAGGTGACTGGACATTATGGCCAGGACCAGAAGCAATGAGTGCATAGTAAACGCACATTCTTACACAATCAGTCGCTATCAGCAGGAAATCTCCATAAATATAACTGCATCACCTCAGGATGCAGAATTCCTATACTCTCCTAAGTACCTAAGGATATAAATGTGTCTGGCTGTGTATTCACATGTACATGTAGGAATGTGCATGTGTGTATTTTACATAACTACTAGCTGTCACCTCTGTATGGTTCAAAATCTAGTCTATAAGGTAGAAAGTCAACGAATAGTTGATTCTCTACGAGAAACAACTAGAAGGGGTGTTGAGATAATGATAATCACCCTCTTTTGTTTTTTTCAGCACTGAGTAAAACTGACAAAATTATACAGCTTTAAAGAGATGATTTGGTGCACATACACACTGAAATATTTACTAAGTCAAGTTAATGTGTATGGAGGGAGTGAGAACAAAATCTACTCCCAGTAAAGTACAAATAAACCTAGTACAGTGTTTTTAAGTATATGAACCATGCTGTGCGTGATTACATTTCAGAACTTGTCATAAATGAAGGCTGATATCCATCCCATGATGAACTCTGGAAACAAAAGTCTGTACCTAGCCCACTGGGACACAGTACACTTAAGTGGCCTGTACCCCAGTTCTGTATGCATAAATTAATAAATTTTTAAAAAATTAATAAAAAAAGAAAATGTATTTCTTAAATGTAGCTTTAACTTTTTTTTAATAATATAATAGCTTATTTTTATATTTTTTTGTGCCTTTTTCCATCTCAGTTGTAATCCCCATGGGCTTCCCATCACCAAATCACCATGTGCCATCACCGTGATCCAGTAAATGTAGCTCTAATTTTACCCCTTCTGATTCACAGGGTCCCTACCTCACAAAACGAAACTGCATTTCACCACAGTACAGGGACCCAAAAGACCATGAATGATGTCATACTACTCAAACATGAATAAAATAAATGAGTTGCAGACTATCTTGTGAAAGACCCCCAAAAGAATACACGTATAATCAAGGCTTGGGAGCTCTGGTTCCTGCTGAGACTCAAATCTCAACAAGTCATGTCCCCTCAGCTGGCTGGACTCTTGGAAGTATTTACTCTTGGCACCATGGCAGGATTTACTCCCCGGAAGGTGGTAGGAATCCTGGACTAACTGAAGGACACAGTGGCAACATGTCCCTGCCGTCCTGCCTCAGAGCATCTGTTCCCCAACACAGTTCCGCTACCGCATGTGGGTAACTCCCCCAGCAGAGGAAAACCCCTACCTCTGGCAACGTGTTTCTCCAAAACACAACTGGTGATTCCCCTTCAACCACCTGAAAGCCAGCACACAGCTGCTTATCTGCACACACCCACACTCCAAGACACATCTGACTCGCAGCTCTGTTCCCTAAAGCCTGAGAAAGCCCAGGTTGTCCTCTACAAAAATGGACGCAATGTTTAGGGAGCTGGGACACAGTTTCCTACAGTCAATGGAAATCTCGCCGAAATGAAAATGTACAGCGAAAACTCCTTTTACCATTAGAAAAGTGACTCCTCCCACATCTCCTCGCACCCCACCCCACCCCTAAAGTGGAATTTAGGAATGAAGCCACAACATCTCTACGGGCTAGGAACTCTGGGACACCCTGTTGATAAGCGAACATGTGTCCAGGGAAGCAATCTGGTACCAGCGCCTTCTAAATGACCTCCGGAAGATGATTAAAGGAAGAGTCGTTTTCATTTTGTTATTATTAGTTGGCAAGTAAGCGTCACTGGCAGACTGTTTCCTGATGTCACTGGAAAAGCTACACAAATGAGCGTTTTTCTAATTACAAAAGAATCTTGACTGAAGATCTGCGAGTAAGCCAGACACAGGATCACTTTCATATGCCCTTAATCGGATGGGTCTGACGCTGCCAGCCACGAATGCTGAAACACCAAATGGCTTAAAAGATGGGGCGTGCACTAGTTTCCAGCAGGTTCTGTAAAGGTACTGAAGTGAGACACTGCCATGTGCTGGGATACCAGCTGCACAGCTTCTGTTAAGAAGCAGCCCCCTTAACCCCCAGGTGGGGATGTATAGGCACATAGGACACTGATGCTCTTTACACCATTCTAGAAACCAGCGTGGGCACCCAGAGCACCTAAGGCCGTTTCCTCTGCCATCCCCTGTGGCTTCCGGGCAGCTGCCAGCCCTTGCAGGAAGAGCAGATGCATCACAGTCCGGCTTGTGACCGTAAGACCTGACCAGGACCCCACTGCTCAGCCTGGCTCTAGGCGGCTCAGGCCCACCCTTGCAGGACCTCACCACCAGCTGTAGAAAAGCTTCGCTGAGTCAGTTTAACAGGAGCACTCCACGCTGACTGGCCCTGACCCTTTGTTGGCAGGATCATGCCCTCCCGTGAGGCTGGCAGTCCCTCCCGCAGGCCTCCCTCTACTCACGCGAGCCCTGCGTACCCTCCTCTGGGCCTATCGATCCCATGGGCTACACTCAGAACCCAGTTCTAGGCTGTCTCTTCCCCAGGGGCAACAGCTCCGGGATGAAACCCGCTGTCAACAGTCAGGCTACTGACCACCCAGCTCTGCTGTCCTTTGCCAGGCCACAGTGAAGTCACTAGGCCTCCCAGAGCTCCCGTAACCCCCCTGTAAGTCGGACTAAACCTATCTTGTGAGCTGCTATGGGGGCAATGTTCTAGAATGGCGTCAGGGATCTGTTCCACGTGTGAGAGATTCACGCTCAAGCACCCAAGAATGGTGGTTTCCATTCGGTCTTTGCACGGCTTGTTTTCCTATTGTTTCTAAATTACTGACACCACAGGACTCAGAGCCAGAGGAGGCAGGCTCTCGCGTGGCCCACGAGGGGGTGGACAGCAGGCTTTCTGCCACCATGGAAGCGCTAGGGTTTCTTCCACAGATGGACAAGCTCCCTGACCCAGGACAGCATGTGAGGCACCGAGGACTTGGCTATCGATCTCTGAAGCGGCTGATGTTAACCTACCCTGAACTGTTGTGAGCCAGGCGACATGGGAAGCAACTTACACTTACCCTAAGGACTCCTGCAAGAGAAACAGGCCAGTTATCACAGATACCACTGGGCAGGTAATGAGACGACAGCGGGGAAGCACACAGATTCAACAAAAAAGGTCACAGCCCACTGGGCCAGGCCATGACACACAATGAGCAGGTCTGGAAGCTACAGTACTAGCAACCCTGCTCTGAGGAGGAGCAGCAGGTCCTGCTGGCTCCGCCACAGGGCAAACAGTTTATCTCTAGACTGTTTCCAAAACACAGTGGCCACATACTTTAATATTGTGTAATAAGAGTGGAACATTCTGTGAACATTACAATTGAACACATTTTATAATCTTCAGCTCTTAGTCGTTCTGTTTTCCTTGCATGAAGAGGGTAGTGCAGCGTATAACCCCACAGCCAAGATCCAGTGAAAACATTCAGGTGGACCCCAAGGGACAGCCAACACACTCAGATTTCCTTCTGAACTTGTTTGGAGGAAGACCTCGCAGGAAATGTACTAGGAAATTATTCAGATCCCTTTTACAAGGCTTTGCCTACAGAGCAATCTAAATATATTCATCCCCCTTCAAGGCAGGGGTGAAGGGACGCAGTAGTAACACGCGACAAGGAGCTGCTGGGAGTTCCCCTCACGGTTTCAGGTCAGTGGCGGATTTATTCACGCATTTGTCCCACAAGTATTTTTGTAAATCCTATCCTGCCCTTGAAACAGAGCCTAACTAAGCCATCTTTAAACACAGTTATGAAGAGAGCTCCAACTATCCCTCTGACCACTACATAGACTCCAGAGCCCTTCCCCAAGCACAGCAGGAAAGGCTACTCCAGGTTCCCTTCAGCTGCAGTCCTCACAAAATCAGAGGAAGAGGGGGGTTATGAGCCAGGTTTCCAAGATACCACGCTTTTCCTCCTACTGAAATAGCTCTGGCACTTCCAAATTTCAGAAGCAGCCACTATCGGTCCCCTGGGGAGGGTGACAAAGGGGAGAAGCCGGGGGTGAGCTGGGTCTGAACAGGCAGCAGCTGGAAGGGAGCAGCCAGCTGGCCACGCACACTCCCACAGCCCCGTCTGCAGGGACAGCTCGGGGTCCTGTCTCCTCCGCTGAAACAGCAGAACGCGTTATGCAGGCACCCCTTACACGGCTAATTCTTTTTCCCCTGCTAATCTTCCAAATGCTGTTCAGCTTCCTCAGCCATCAGGGTACCTGGGAGGGGAGGAGGGGGACATCCCCCCCTGCGCAAGAGTAGTGTCCATGCGCCGCAGCCGCCTACCTCAGTCGGCCCGGCGTACATCATGGGAGATGGGAAGATGGCCACGACTGTAGATTCGGGATTCAGCACGCCCTCCTCCAGCACTGCTGCGTGCTGCTTCATCCGCCACATCAGAGGCACGTCGTCATCCTTGGTCCAGCCCCCGAGAGGGTGAAGCAGGAGCACGGGGCGCCGGTAGCCCCGCTCCAGAAGTTGCTTGTGGGTGTCCTGCATTAACAGAGCGTGCCCGTTGTGCACTGGGTTGCGCAACTGAAACGCAAAGACAGCATCTGCAGAGAGAATTCCAGTTGCAGAACAGCAGGTCACTAAGAGATTCACCTTCCAGAGGAAAGGGGGGTGAGAGAGGGCTACTGCTACCAAGAGCAAAGTAAACCTGGGTTTGGCGAGACCATCATTCTGTTTGATTTTCTCTGGCATTCTGTGTTTTTTCTTGAAGGACACAGCACTGTAACAGGACCTAAGTTTCAGGCGTGCATCTCTAAGAATCAACACATCAAATGCGAAAACCAATTCTGAACATTCCCAGCAGGAAATGAACCCACTGTTCAGCTGTGGGCCAAGGCCACTGCCATGGGGACCCACACTCCCAGCGAGTGTCGGCGGGTGGGGCGGGAGTCAGGAGCAGGGCCTATCTCAGCAGGGGACCCTCGGGCTTCACACCCAGGGGTGACGGCTACATTCCAGACATCAGCGGGCTCAACTCCGACTCTGCGCAATCACCACGTAGCGTGACAGGATGTGCAACCAGGCACAGGAGTCAACTGTCTCCACCACATACATTTCCCCAAGTAGTAACTCGTCTATCTAGATCATCTTTCCAGAAGAATGGATCACCTCCACTCTGGAGATTCAACACGACGTCAGCGAGCCAGACAACTTAATACAAGTTTACATTAGCAGTCCTACAAAGCATTTCACTGCCAAAATGTCTTCCAGGTAGAGTTATTTCCTCACTCCCACTCGGAAACCCAAAGCCGTCTGCTCTGTCTGTGATGTTCTGCCCCCTTACATTAAAATGTCTCCTCTGATGTAAAAATAAACTGTTATATTAAAAAAAAAAAAAGTCTCCTCTTCCTGGCCCTGCTCAAGTCTAACTGTCTCCCTTAATCTACCCCGAAGCTGTCAGAAGAGCAATTTCTGATTTCTCCTATATCAACACCATAGTAACTTGACAACACTTTGCCAATAATCAGGGAGTAGCCAGTGCATGTGTGCGTGGGTTTTTGGTGGGATGTTTTTAAGAGTTGGAGCTAAGAAGGAGTCTGAACTTGCTCCCCCGTCTGGATCTCATAAATCACTGGTCTGTTTTTTACTTACAATGTTTTATGAGGAAAAAAATAAAGGAATCAGAGAGACAGAGGCCACTTGACAGACGTGCACAGTCCTAGGTCACTTCCTAACAGTGACTGCCATTCCCAAAGTGCGAGAGTGGTGACCAGTCATCCTCACATCCACAACACTTTGGTGAGCCACAGTAAACACGCAGCTTGTGGCCAGCAGGGCTCTGTTGTCACTTCTCCCTTCCCCTGTATCTGATCTCTGCCATGAACGTGTGTGCACAGGCCCATGTGTGTTTTACGCGTGCATGCATGTGTGACATGTGCATGTGTGCATGTCTCTGAGTGTAGGTCTGCGCCTATGCATGTGCATGCCTGTGTGAGTGGATATGCCTGGGGGTCAGGGGGAGGCGAGAGGGGGTGCTGCCCTCTGCCTCCGCAGTGGGAGACGTTAGTGGGTACCCAGAGGCTGGGCGAGGAAAGACTGGGGCAGCACTGGTCCAGGGAGCATGCACTTCAGTGCTATGACTTGCCTGTGCCAACAGCCTACAGCCAGCTCTGCCCAGCACCCCACTCCCCCAGCTTCAAAAGCAAAGTCCTTCCAGCCCCTTTCCAGGGTGGAAACGCAGCCTAGAGTTAATCCTGCACACCTCGGCATTCCACTGGGTTCCCGCCCCTCAACTTCCTTGCTGGATTTATGCTCCAGGCCTTATCGAGGGCTCGACCTGACTGACAGGGACCCACAGAAGGCATCCCCAGCATACAGTCACTAAATGCCCGGGGCCTCTGCGGACACATGTCCTCCTCAGCTACCTGTCACTTGTCCTCAGTCTGCCTAAAATATCGCTGCAGGTGCACAAGCTATCTGTAGTCCAACAGCTGCACCAGTTCTCAGACGTACGTGCCACTGTGTGACCACATACTAGCCATGTGACCACCAATTTTGCCTCTGTGGCCTGTTAGGACACCAACATTCCCTGTATCATAAACACAGACCCCCACTTGGCTTCATTGAAATTCCTTCTTTCTTTCCAAGAGAGAGTCAACAGTCAGTGGCTCAAAGAACCTGCCACCTGGAAGCAGATCATAAAGACCTCAAACCCTGCCAGCTACAGAATGTTCTAGAAGAGCAAAACTGTTCAGATTACTGTGCACAGTATAACAGCCCCCCATGGGGAGACCCGTTTTCTTCTGAAGTGAAGGATAAAGGAGGCGTAATAAAAAGCTATAGGTAAAAGGAACAAAATGCACATTTCCCTTTTCTCCCCTTGTCATGCACACAGCAGCATATGACTGATGATTAGGACTTCCTACAAGAGTAAACAAGAGCTAAAAAGTAACCCCCAGTCTGTTATCTATTTGCTTTGATCTAAAATGGAAAAGTAAACAAAGTAATTCCCCAGGGTTTTTGCTGTCTGGTGTGAGGCTAATAACTGGCTCTGGGCTACTTTAAACAAAGGCTCCATAACTCATTATGCAACAAGCTATCCCAATGGCATGAAATGTTTGCCTGGTGCAGGAGAGGATAAAACAGATGTAATATGAAAGTGGCCAATTATTACTGATTCCCTGATAAGACCCCTCCATCGTGCCAGCAACTAATTTACTAGCATGAATTCCAGCTATGAATTCAACATTTGGCAAAAAATGAAAGTGAGTGAGGTGATCTTGGCAAGTCCTCCACTGAACATGCCCTGGTCTCCACAGAAACGGAGCAATCGCCACACACTAAGTTATCGGATGCTGCTGGCTGCAAACAAGACCCAACCAAGCATCTCAAGTAGCTCAAAAAAGCGTGAGGTCTGCAAGTTAAAGAGCTGGACCCTGGGGCTGGAAGAGAAACTCAAGAAGGATAAGCCTTGCAGATCCTCAGATGCAGAAGGCATGCAGGGGCTCTGGGCCTCACAGCGGCTAAACACATTGAGAAAAGGCAGTCCAGACTGAGATGTCCGGAGTCCTTTGGAGACCAGTGGGGTTTCCTGGGAACCCATAAGGTTTGGGAGCCAGTTGTTTCCTGAAAAGCAACCACATTCATCTCACTTTTCTGAGCCCCATCTAATGGATTCACAGCACGGGGGCTTACCCAGTGCCCGGGGCACAGCTCTGGGGGTGTCCAGCTCTTCTGAGCTCCAAAAAGCTTTCCCTAACCTACAGTGATTGTAACCCCGACAGGACACCTTGACTCTGCCACCGGCCAGAAAGCAGGGGCATCCCAACACCCTCCTCATACCTACCTCCATCAAGTCCTCTAACTGCAGGCCTGACGTAGGCGCCCTGTCCTGTGGGACTCCACCCAGCACAGTGAAGACCAGCACCCACAGGCTGGTGTCTCTTCCAGCTGTGATTCTCCCCGGTCCGGAATTCTGAAATCACCACTAGCCTATCCTTCAGCTCTGTTATCTGTTCACTGGCTCAGTCGACACAACCACCACGAGCTTACATCTATTGATGGGCCCTCAGCCCCTGCGTCACGGCCTAGGAGGACGCAGAGCCCCTGCGCAGGGACGGCTAGGAAGCGTGACTAGTGTGTTTTCCACAATGTCTGCACTCACATTCCCTTTGGACGAGACATTCCAATCCGAAGCACAATGACTTAGCTCTGCGAGTTGCTTCTCTCACAGGTGCTGATGTGTTAGCTTCCTAATCAGCACAAGGCCAACTTGGGGCAGCAGCTACCTTCCAAGGTATACATGACAATAGCGTCAGCCTAAGAACACCCCTGGGTCGGGTGAGCTGACTTTCCTTCCCCATCCCACTGCTGCATTTACCTCGACTCAACCGTCTGTCTCCTGTTTTAGTCAGCACTGGAACAAGGCTTCTAGAACTTTCCCATCCGGCAGAGACGCCAAGTACCCCCACAGGAGATAATCAGATCCCTGTCTTACCGGCGTTCATGTCTTTAAATTTCTGCTTCAGCTCAGTAGGAGTAAGACGGTACTGGTCGAGACCATCGTTCCAATAAATTCGGTCCAAGACCTGAAGATCTCCCCCAATCAGCCAGTCTCCTTGCTCCATAACCATCTACAGAGAAGAAAAAGGAAATCACTTTTTGGAAAGTAGAAATTAAATTAAAAACACCCTTTGCCTCTCCAGTTTTACTGCTATGCCAATCGCTGCCACAACTGTATAACTTGGGGGCACAACTCCACACCTCCCTATGGGCACCTGCCTCACTCACCCTCCACCTGAGCGCCAGAGTCAGGCCCTGTCGCCTCCCCGCCCACCTTCTAAGAGTTCTTTTGCTGTATCGTGCCAGCTTGTTTCCTGTGGTTGAGAAACTGATTTCTTTGAAAAGGGAGAAATAAATAAAGGACAGGTCGCTCATCCGGGCTAGAAACAGCCACACGCTTTCAGCTCAAGCCAGCGGTAACGCTGACGTAGCCAGCGGTAACGCTGACGTGTCCAGCATTGGATGGAAAGACCTCAGCACTATAACATACTCAGATTGCCAGAAGACTAGTGACACCTGCACGCACACATGGAAGACAATTGCCCTAATAATCAGGGTCTTCTCACTGACACAATAGCGTTTCCTTGCTGCTGTAGCTGCGCGCCCAGACACAGTTGTGACCCCACATCCCACCTGCAATGTACCCCAGTGCTGAGCTTGTGAGCAAAGGAGCGGCGATGGCTGAGGGGACAGAAGTACACACCCCCTCACTCATCTCCTTTCCAGGTCTTAGAGGAGCAGATGCCAGACAACAGGGCCGCTCAAGCTTCTGCCCTGATGCCACTGAACACTTCAGCCTGCCCTTACTTGGGTTTACCGCGTGACTGAGGTGCCTGTGCTGGGTACTGCAGAAGAGTGCAAAGCGTACCACGGTAGGACAAGGGAGCTAAAGGCCCAGGCGAGACAAATCTTGCATTCTCATGGGGACACCTGAGGAACCAGAGAACACGCAGCTGCTGAGGAATGTCACACAGAAAAGAGCTGGGTGGTGGACACAGTGCCCAGGATGTAGGGAGAGAGTATTCCAGAAAAACAAGTCAGGAGGGGCCTCTCAGAGAAGAGTCATGCTGCCCTGAATGGGTGAAAAGGAACCAGTCGTGGGGGACAACACTTCAGGTGAAGGCACAGCGAGAACCAAGTTTGGGGCAGAAACCAGCTTTTGTCTTGCAGGGGCAGAAGGAAGGTCAACACGGCTGAAAGTTGAGGGAGGTGAGAGAGCAAGAAGGGCAGGACCTCGAGAGCCAGGTAGACAAATGAGTGGGTTTATTTCAATCATAATAAAGGTGGAATGAGGTCCTCACATTCTTGTTTTTAAAAGACCCTCTCTGGTACCTCTGGGAGTGAACAACGACTCCAGTGGCTTGAGACCAGAAGGTCTGAAGGGCCAGTGGCAGTGGAGAGGGCTGGAGTGCTGCAGAGACTCCAGCTAAGCCGCAAAAAATACATAGTGGAATATTATGCAGTCATAAAGATGACTTTTGTCATTTATAACAACATGGGTGGAACTGGAGGGGATAATGCAAAGTCAGAAGGAGTAACAAAGCATGAGGATCATTTCACTCATTTGTGGAATTTAAGGGGGAAAACACCAAAATGGAAAAAAAAAAAAACCAACAACGTGCACACTTGACAGCACCAGCTCCTGGCCCTCAACGGACACTTAAAAAACATTTGTGCTGATTTGGTGGTGGGCCTTCTGTTACACTACACATTTGAGAGGTGTGAAACTGCACCCTTAAAACATATGGTGTTATCACCAATGTTACTGGATAAAAATAATTTAATATAAATGAAATGAAGTAATTAATATAAAAAATATAGTATTTCTGGAACAACAACAAAAAAAGTCAAGCTGTTAAATGAACATTTCTATGGACCAAGAGGACAAGATATTATGCTGACCACTAATGTAAGATCCGGTCTTAATTCTGCAAAGTACTGACAACCCCAATGGAAAAGCTGAGACACAGGGAATCCCCGCTTTTCAATGCTGACAAAAGTGGGTGCTTCACCACAACCTTGATGTAGGGGTGGTTCTTGCAGGTTGTTCCCCACTGCCGGGCGCAGCGCTCCTCCTTCCGGTGCTCGAAGAACTCCGGATTGCGAAGAATGGCGACTCGGCGGCCCTCGTACATGAGGGCGAAGGCGGTGCAGCCATCTAGCCTGTCCTTGTCTTCCCGGGTGGCTGTGAGCACGATGGGCACTGACAGGTTAATGACGCCCCCTGCAGGGCACAGAGCACAGGGCACAGGGCCCGCATTACTCAGCACGCCTCACCTCCAGCCTGCGCTTCCGACATGTTTCACATACGAAGACACGGATGCACCCCGGTCTGGGGTGGGTGGGTGGGGACTAGTAGAAAATCAGTGACTAAAAAAGAGAGCAAAAGTTAAGAGCACCCGCACTGGGGACAGCAAAGTCCCCACCACAATTCGTGAAACAGTCTGGGGGGTGGCTAGGGGAACGCTTGGTGTCGGAGCACAGAGAGAAACACTGTCTGACAAGGCTGGATGGCTCAGGGCCAGCACTCCCCAAAAGAGACTGCTTCCCCTCCAGTATGTGAGTAAGACACGGACCGTGTTCAGGGCCCTTTCAGGAAAAAACAAAACCCTTGCTCAGGACCCCACTGTGAGGGGCAGATACACAGGCACAGCAGCTGGCTGCCCCTAAGCCAGGGAGAGCACAACGCCAACAATGTCTTCAGTGTTCTGGCTTTAATCAGAATGGCGCCACTGTCGGCTGTCACTGACCGAGAGACCAGGCCATCATCGGTGGCTGTATCTAAACCAAGTGAGTCACCAGGGAGGCCCCGGCTTACGTGCCATTTCCAGCCTGTCCAGCTCTAAGTTATCCCTACTCCGTGCACAGGTAAGCAGAAAGGGAGCTCCCCTTCCTCAGCAGGCAGGCCTCACGAGCCAATGGAAACCGTGCTGTTCAGAAACCACAGCACGCCTTCCTTGGACAAAGGGCATCGGCAGAATCAGTGCCAATGGCTTGGCAGCTTTAAAATCACTACCACTAGGTATAGTTGAAAAAGCTAACAGGTGGATTTGCTCCAAATCCAGGACAAAACCATTCCCAAGGAGGCTCTCCACAAAGACTGCTGTCCCGAGGATGAATATCAAACAGCAGCCTTAACCCTTACTGTCGTGTAACAGTTTCTAGAGAAGAATCATCAGAAACTACATTTTCCAATACCTATTTCACTGTTCAAAGAAGTTGTAAAGTGGAAGAAAGTGGTAGCAATTTAATCAGGCTCTGTGCCACACTGTTTTCTTCACTGAGGCAGGTTAATGTTACCAAGAGTAGACAGCTGAAGGCAGCTGGTGTGTCCTTAACCATGCACAAAGCATCGATTTCTCTGGCAATTCTTTTTTAATATCTTGGAAGACCAGGAAGAGCCACCCTTTGAACTTGTTTCAATTTACACTCCCCAATTTCTAGAATGCACAGGCGGACTTCAAAGTGTGCACTTGTGGGGGACAGACTCCCAGAGGTGCCTGCCTCACCTGCTTTCCAGCCTAGCCCAGGCCCCCAGAGGTGTCTGCCTCACCTACTTCCCAGCCTAGCCCATTTCCAGCCTAGCCCAGGCGTCCTGCCCCGCTGTAATGCATTACAACCGGGAGAACGGCCTCGGGCTCATCTGCACACTCGGCACGTATGTGTCCTAGTCGCCTCTCACCAGCTGCCCCGACCGATGTGACCACCCGCACGGCCCGCGCCCCGGGTCTCACCGTCCAGAAGGCAGTCGAAGTGCAGGCACTGCAGGTACTCCCTCTCCCTCATGAAGCCGTTCAGCGGGGTGGCCCAGCCTTCCGCCAGCACCTGCACCCACTGCATGTCCACCTGGGAGACACACGGAGGGTGAACCCACGCCACGCACTCACCAACAGAGGCAGGAGTAACCTCGGAGGGAGTTCAGTTTTGCAAGAAGTGGAAGCAAGAGTGATTACAGATCATGCAGACCTAATATAGATGAAGGGCACCAGGAAAAACCAGCACTTCTCTGTGACAAGTGAGAGTAACAAGTTTCTAAACAAGCGTGGAGTCATTTAATCAGAGGTTTGTATCATTTATTCTCTGTGTACACTTGTGGGAAAGAATGTGTGTGCAAGCATGTACACAACTGTATGCGCGTGCCTGAATGCAGATACATGTGTGGGGTGTATCCACATCTATGTTTATGTGCATGTAAGTGTTTGTCACTGTGCGAGGGGGTGCGAGACAGAGGGCGGAAGCGAGAACAGAAAGGCGTGCACGCCTGGTCACCCCCGGCCAGCTCCCAGGACTCTGCTCTGACTCGCCCTTCTCTGACCCCCAGCACATCCTCGCTCTGGCCAAAGGCCCCGCCCCACAAAGCACATCAAATACCTACTCTTTCAGGGACCTGAATAAGTCTGAGAGTCTTGCTCCAAGCCAGAGGGGCCGGGCCTGTGCTCTCTCTTTATTCAACTCTGGCACTTCCCTGGGTGTTTTGGGTTTTTACTCTGCTAAAAGAAGGCTGAGAAATTAACTCCTAGCCCACATTCTAAACCTTTAATTCATTCACTTTAAAATATGCCTAAATGATACAATTTAAAACTCTCTAAGATTAGAAAATGATAAACTCTAGTTTCCACTGTCGTCATATCTGACTCGGCTTAGTTTCTTGTGTGGGGAAGGCAGAGTTAAGCTGCACATTACAAATCTTGATACAACAAAGACAAGGGCTTGGGAAGGGGATTCAGGCAGAAGGGAAAAGTGTCCATGGGAATTTTCAGATCTAGTATGGGTTAAAGTAACCTTCTAGAACCCATTCTTTCCAAAAGCCTGAAAATCGCACATAATTTTATTCTTTGATACTTCAAAATAAACAGTCAAAGCCATAGTAATTTGGGATGATTGCTTCACAAATTAAGCATATTTCTCCTCCATGGATATTGGGATATCCACTACAAATCCCCCAAACTCAATGCTGAATTTTCCAGAATACTGTGTCTGGCTAAATCACTGGGTATAACAAACAGCAAAGCACTTACCTTATTAATTTTCAATGCTGGTAACGTTTCCGCATCTGTCTTTGCCAAATGAAGCTTATTCTCTGGCACATACAGTTCTTTTACTTCGTAAGAAGCATCCACAGGCACAATGTCCTATGCAACAACAGAAGAACAATCAGCTGTGTGATTCAGCAATTTTGAGTTCTCCCAGGGACACTTAAGAGGAAAAAGCACATTTTGAGCAGAGACTTCAGACGAGCAGCACAGAAGGGGCCTGGGGGGCGTTCCTCGCGCCCACTGGTTTAGTCTCGAGTGAAACGTGCCACATACAAAAGGCCCTAAGCATACAGCTGGGGTCCAGGGAAAAGAAGAATGCATTCTAGGGGTTCTGTGCACGTCAAACTCAGGCATGTGCAGTGCAGGAGGATGAGCCCACACGAAGTCAAGACAGCAAAGGACTTGGAAACAAAATGCCTGAACGAGCATTGGTATCTAAAATTCACATTGGTCTCTTAAAATCCAAGAAGAAAACAGCACAATGCTATTTAAAATGGGGCCAGACACCTGTAGAGAGCCGTCACCAAAGGTGTGCAGACGGCAAAGGCAACCATGAAATGACACCCTATCCTTGGTCATCAGGGAAGACCCCTCTCCCACTGGCCCCCTGGTCATCAGGAAAGATCCCCCCTCCCGCTGGCTCCCTTGGGTCATCAGGAAGGACCCCCTGCTGCAGGCCCCCCTGGTCATCAGGAAAGACCCCCTCTCACTGGCCCCCCTGGTCATCAGGAAACAGCCCCTCCCGCTGGCCTGATGTGGGAGCGCAGGCAGCATGGCAGCTTGCGAGCCTGGGAAGGCCCCTCGGTGCAGGGGCCAGGCTGGCGCAGGCGGCACACTCTGGTCCGAGAAGCCAGCGGCGCCCATCTGGTGCCTGTGGCCAGGACCCAGCGGACTGCACGGTGCTACCACATAGCCACTCCTACAGCATGCGCGAACTCCCAGGGACCCTCGCCAGCCACGAACATGGAAGCCAGCATCTTCCCTCTTCGACATTCACATCAGTGGTTTTAATGAATTTTAGTGTCACAACTTAGGAGACAATGTTCTTCCCACGCCTACCCACGACAACACAAAACCTGAAGAGGCTGTTACTGGGTTTCTCTTCGAAAAAGACAAAGTAATTATTTGTGGAACTGACACATACATGAGCACAGGAATCAGGTTTGCTCAGGAGAAGCCAGTCCCGCATAGACTGTCAGTGTACAGAGAAGAGGATGCTCTCGAAGTACACAAAGAAGTTTAAAAATGCAGACCCTGCTAGCTTCTGGCACATTCTAGGGACACATCTTTTCAGCTCCCAAAGCCACTACCGGACAGCTCACTTTGACAAGACACCCGGACACGGCTGGGAAGGCATAGCCACGTGCGCTTACGCCCTACGAGGCAGTTTCCGGATTCCCAGAGACACGGCCAGCTGGACCAGGCAACATGCTCTTCGCTCCTCTCCAGAAAGCCTTTCCCTTCAGGGAAATGACTCGTTCAGCAGAACAACCAAGCCCCAGGAGCAAGGGTTCCTCCATCATGAAGGGCTCCACAGTCACCGGCTTTGAAGGCCCTCACATGTCCCCCTAAGTAGGGGCTCAGTGAGCAACCCCCACGCTCCCACTAATGAGGGGTGTCTGGAGAGCGCTGACTGTAACAAGGCAAATAGTCACTGATGCCGAACTGCAGCATAACTCCTCCGAGCTCTTCACTCTGCAGGACAGATGCTCTGGCCTCCCCTTTGCTCCAGGAAACACTGTTTGTGGGGTGAGCCGGGGCCGGGCCGGCATAACAAGCAGCACCCTCCGCCTAGGAAGCACCACTCCTGCCTTCTCCAGCGTCCCAAAGAACTCTGAGCGTGTTCAAAAACAAAACAATTCTATATTCCCAGTGTTTGCATTTTTTCCCTTGGGCCAAACCTGCTCAACAGATTCTAAAGCCCGAGCTCTGCACATTTTGATGTCACCATTACATGTGGATGATCTGACGAACGTGCATGAACACCCAGCAACGCTGCAGAATGGAGCCCTCGGTCTGGTTTTATGTGCAGGGCGGAAGCCATGCAGTACCACAAGCCACCATTTCAGAAAGACAAACCTTTAAACAATTTGCAGCACTAGCAAGTCTAGAGTACCTAGCCCATTTACAAACAGTATTTAAAATATCACTTGAGAGTAAAAGCAGCGGCCGAACCTACTTCTTGAGGCCATTCGCCGGCAAGCTCAAACGCAACCCCAGCAGGCCACCTAGTGACCATTCGGGGTTAGGGCAAAAACTGAATCCCAAACCTCAATTTTTCAGTCTCCTAGCTTCTTGCAAAAAAAAAAAGCCAAATGAAGCACTTTGAAAAAATAAAAATGCCCTGAAAACATACTGAGGAATGTGATGCTTACATATGGCAGTGTTACCCCTCAGCCGAATTATCTCACACCAGACCGATGACAGAGGACCAAGGCAACCAGAGACGCGGAGGACAAGTGACACTGTGCTGCCACGACCCCGGCACCCTGAAATTCCCGGGGAACACGCAGGACACATTTTCTTCAGACAGTAAAACCAGTTGCCTCTCAGTAAAGTTAAGCATCAGGGAAATGATCGCCAATGGGATTATTTTAGAAGTCTCTCCAAAACAATACCAACCGCTAGACAGAAAAATCCTGCATTCCTTCTCCCTCTCCTGCCTGCCCTTTTAGAAATGGTCCCAAACCACAGCACCTGCACTGCTCTGGTAAAAAGCTGGGGTGCAGTGGTGGACAGGTACTCAGTCCTGGCCCACTGTATTTCCTGAATGGTGCTAAGTCTGGGGTGATGAAGAGATGGTTGTGAGGTTCCCGCAAAAAGGAGCAGGCCATCCACTATGGGACTCCTTTCAGCTTCACCCACAGGCCTCTAGGCTGGTGAATGGAGCTCAAGCAATGGCCAAGGGCTGACACAGCCTGTGCATGTGCCAATCCCCGAGAAGCCCCACGCCAGACCTGTGTGTCTCCTCCAGTCAGCTGAGCTCAGCAGTGTCCTTTACAAGAAAGGGGCAGCAGCAGCAAACTGCCCCCCCCCCAAGTCTGTGACTGAAATGCTCCAGGGGAGCTGCGGAAACCTTTAATTTGCAATCACCCAAGCTGAAGGAGAGGGTCCCCTTTTTTAAGCTGGCATCTGCAGGAGAGGCAGACAATGGGGCAAGCTGTGTACCTGCAGGCTGGAGTGACCCCTGGGGGCAGGTCAGGGCTGAGTCTCTGGACACCCTGGTGATATGGGGTGATAAGAGAATCGGTTGGTTTAAGGAAAAAAATAATCTTTAAGGTTGAACAAACTGAACCTGAAAAGGAGACAGTATTTACCGAACTTCAGTATTGTGGAAGTGAAGTTCTCATTAGCATGGCATGGCACACTAACCCATCGCCCTTGACCACTTGGCGTCAGGGCCTCAGAACATCACCATTCACCCAGCAAAGTGTGCCTCGGCTGCCCAAGGTCGACCAGGAGACTACAAACACCCCCCGCTTCACACACGGGCGCGGCTCTCAGGGCCGTGGAGCCCGTTCCAGAGACTGCGATGAAGGGGTTACGTGCCCCGGGAGCACACCAGCCCACTCTTCAGTGCAGGAGAGAACTCTGCTTCCCGGCGGCCGTCTGTGCTGTGTGCACCATCAATCTACCTGAAAACACAGTGGACCCGCCTCACGGGAAAACACGGCTGATAAAGACAATGTTGTCCGAGCCTGGGGAGGTGGCAGTGCAGGGCTGCTGGACAGGCCGATCGGCAGAGCACCCTAAATAAAGCCCGGCGCAGCCAGAGGGCCTGCCGGGACCACCGCGCACCCCATGCTAACCGAGGACAGGCGGGGGCGGCTTGTTCCTACCAATGAACATTCTTTCCAACCTTGACAGCACTGTCTTTGATCAGCTCAGGATGAGTATACAAGGACTGTAAAAATACTAAATATTGCTAAGGCCAGTTCCCCTCGATGCCTTCAGCCCAACGTTATTTGAATGCCTCTCAAGTCTTGGAAGACAAATGGTCAAGGCATGTGAATGTGCCCGTGTAAAGCTGCCTATTTCAAAAGTGAATTACAAACGGATGCAGGGGCTGGGGATGGGGACAGGCGGTGCAGTAAAAAGACAAGGGTGTGACTGCGGGGCCCAAGGAGAATCACACCAGCTTCTCCAAGGCTTAAAAGCAAGGAAGCCGGCCCTCCCTGGTGGTGCAGCAGGTTAAAGCACAGCACTGAGAAGCCAAAGCCACTTCAGCACGAGTTCAATCCCCGCCTGCCCCGGAGGTGACCACATGGCGCAGCAGATCTCTCCTGACCCGCCCGCTGCTCCCCTCAGCAGTGTACTTCGTCGATCTGCCTGTTCTGCTCCTCACTCTGTCTCTGGTGAAGCCTCTCACCCTCCGCAAGCCTCTGGCCTGTACCACAGTTATGTATGCACAAATAAATAAATCTTTAAAAAAAAAAAAAAAAAGCAAGGAAGCCACCGCGGGGACAGCCAAAACGGCGGTGCTCCCACGGGCAGCCCGTGGCCCGAGGCAGCCTATCTCAGCCGACACACTAGTGTTCTCACACGCGGCGCTGTTAGGGCGAACGGCGAGTCTCAGCACCCCCTTCCGCACACGCCTCAAAGAGCTGCAGCTCGGCTATTATTACCTGCTCACAAACCCAAGCGTGGTCTGGGGCTCGCACCCTGACTTGGGAGGCCAGCACTAGTATGTGACCCACCTTTGGGGGCCCTAACAGTCCTCCCTGGTGACAACAAGCTGAGTCTTCTCTGTTCCCCGGGGTCACCAGGGAGGAGGGGCTGGCTCTGGAAAGCAGGTGGGCACCAAGTTCTCTAGCCTCCATAGTTTATGCAGCCTGGGACAACTGTTAGCACCAGACTGAAAGCGGAAGCAGCACCCCGTCACCACCCCCTTCTTCAGGAGGGGTTGGGGGCTTCCAGGGGGCGTGCTGGGGCCTGCTCACCCGCTCCTGCAGAAGCTCCACCACCTGCTGGACACAGTCGTTGACGTCGCACGAGTCTGTCTTCAGCACCAGCTCAGGCGCCTCTGGTTTCTCATACTCAGAGTCGATCCCGGTGAAACCTGCCAAGACCACGGGGTGGGAGAGCAGGCCTGAGTTCTACACAAATCTCCGGCACGTGGTGTGACGGTGCTGAGCGGGTGGCCCCTATGGTGCGGGCCGCAGAGCTGAAACTTCTTATAGAGCGATCGCCAATTCTCCGTTGGAGTGCTCCTCAGTTGTGCCGTTGATTCTCGTTACTCACAGTAGCGCCGTCCAATCAAGTGCCACGAACACAGATTCAGTGTGTGGCACTACGGCCCCGGGAGGGGAGAAGGAGGCGCTTCCAGCGGGCCTCTCGTGCCCAAGTCTAGCCAACTGCACAGCACAGAGGCAGGTGGCTCGACACTGCCAGGATCTTCTGCCCCTCTAGACTGTGCTACCTTCTAAAGGTACAAAAGTGTTCAAAATAAAATGCCCAAGTAGCTTACTCCAGCCGGGCAAAGCATCTGTGTCCCTCATCCATCCAGCCTTGTAAAAAAGCAACAAAACCAAGCACTGTCAAAATAAGCAAAAGATGTGGCCTTCAGGACCCCGGAGACCTTGTTCCACTTCGCTTTGCCACACCTTGTGGCCCGCCCAGGACGCAAACATCACCTTCCCTCACTCCTCCTCGGGCCAGACGCCCAGCACCACCCGCAGACCACACAGACAGGAGCTGCTGTGTGACAGTGCCAGGCATTCCCTGTCCCCGCATGAGTCACTGGTCCCTGAGGGGGGCACTAAGTTATCCACTTTATTAATGCTGGCAGGTCCTTGTCTCTTCTATCACTTCCAGAATGGGACTAACATCAAAGATGCCTAGGGAAGAATCTATCAATGCCCCTTCCACGTCCGAGTGGAGTCACAGTCACCCTGTAGTCCGGGTGCAGACCGTGAGATCGGCATGGCGAGCTGCATCTACGTAGACATCATCTGTGATGTGCAAACTCGACAAACATCTAGAGAGCAATTCAGAGACCACGACACACACTGAAGCATCCTGAAGCTAAGGAAAAGGCTCGGTCCCCGCTCTCGAGACGCTCTCATGCAGGCGTCTTTCCCATCAGCTGTGGAGTCTCCTCCACTTTCACTGGGAAAAGAAAGAAGTGGCAGCAGCCAGCGAGCGAGATCCGACCCATTGCTGGACACCAAATTAAGTGCAGTAGGCCCCCCCCACGCAGGCTCCAAAATCTGCCTGGCAAGGACTCCCACCTCAGTGATGACCCCTGCCAGCAAGAGCTCGCCCCACGCCCCCAACGCTCAGTAGGGGGCCTGTCTCAAATGCAGAAAGAAAAATGTAGAAGCAAAGAGGAGAGGGGAATTTGCTCACCTTTAATTTCTCCAGCCCGTGCCTTTTTGTAGAGTCCTTTCACATCCCTCTGCTCACACACATGCAGAGGGGCGTCGACAAACACTTCGAAGAAAGGCAGGCTGGCGCCCTCGTGGATCTGCCTGGCGTTGTTGCGGTCCTTGGGGAAAGAGGCAGGCGACGTGACTCGCAACGTGACAGAAGTGCCCCCCACACCACTACACACACACACGTAGGTGTTCCCTTCAGCGTGAGAAGCAGCAATAGCACTTTCCAGCAGGTGAGGGGAAGACACATTGCGACAAAATAAACCATTTGAAATATGCACAAAGAAAATCCAAGAAGCCATGAGCTTGACACACCCCTCTACATTCCATGTGGGAAAGGTACACTGGTCCCAAGTTCTGAAACACGGGACCGCCACTCTGCAGAAGTCACCTTGACGGCGCCCGGAATCCCTCCACCTCTCCCCTCCTCCTTGGGCAGACCTCCGCTTCTTGCTGGCAGGAACCAAGATGGACTTTGGCCTCAAAGTTGTCTCTTCCTAAATGGTAACACCACCAGCACACCCCACAGGCGGGCAGGGCTAGCCAGTTCGAGGTCGCCCTCACATCCGGTGGAACCCCATACAGCTCCTTTCAGCCTGCACCCCCTTTCCCTCAGGACCCAACAAGCTATCCTGTGTCCACTGCTGCAAGTGACCCAGCATGTAAATAACCTGCCACAGCAACACACGGCACCCAGCAACCTGACTACACTGCCCTCCGCTGCTCCCGCCTTCTGACTCTTCCTTCCTCCAGGGGACCCCTCACCCCCTTCCTTACCCCCCCCCCCCGAAACTATCTGTCGCTTCCGTATCTGGCTTTGTCCCTGGCAACAAACAAGATGAAGTCACGCTCATCCATTAAAAATGAGAAGCCTCATCTGGTGGTGACTTCAACCCCTAAATGGCCAGGATTCTGCTGTACTATGGCCCCCAAGGTGATCCTGTGCCTTCCCGGAAGGCTCCAGCACCCACTTCAACCATCTCACCTCCTTCAGTATCGAACGGCACCCCCATGGCCTCTGTACCCTGAGCCCCTCCCCATCCTGAAATTCAACACAGGTGGCCCCCATCTAACCATCGAAGAGACATCTAGAAGAATGCGGTTTAGAGTGGCTCCCCGGTTGGAGGTTTAGTGAGAGAACAGTCCTCTATCTGATGCTCATCTTTATGTCAGGACAAGGAAGCGGTCGCCCCCTCCTGGTCTATCACACATGACTCCTCTCGGTCCTGACACGCCAGGCCCCTAATCACAGGAGGTGTGTCCCTGCTCCGCTCCGTTATTTAGAATTTACAACCGTGTGAGTTCTGCAGATGGGTGCTGTATATTTTTTCCTTTGCTAACCCGTGCAATGTTGTTTTGGTGACTCGTCCAGCTGGAGCAGTACCCAGAGGCTCAGGAGGTGACCTCCTCTACAGCCCACCACTATGACAATGGTTTGTCTCCAAGGAGTCAAGGATGCATATTTTCTCCCACCCTCACTACCCAGAGGTTTTCAACGGATGGACAGTCTCAATGATTTGGGAAAGTGGCGGGGGCTAGTCCTCAGAGAAGCCTCTAGTCTCCTGCGTGCTCAGTTAAGTGACCCCGTGGGATTAACACTCAAGCTGGTACTTCTCTCTGACTCTCACAGCTCGAATGCTGCTTGTGCTGTTAACCAGCCCAGTCGCCATGTAAACGTCAGGCACAGCTCCAGGCAGAGGCAGGAACTATACAAGACCTCCCCTGGCACCCCTGCAGGCAGAGGGCGTCCTCTACGCACGGGCTTATGGACTGAAAGGGCGGGTGACATAATGCAGCCACTGGCCTGACATCAACAATGCTGGCTGTGCGCTGGGGACCAGTAAACTGACGGGGAAGGTGGCAGCACCAGATGGGGGCGTTACCTTAACGGGGTGCGGCCTGAAAGCCCCGTCCGCAGGGAAGGATGGCTGCTCACCTGGGTGTACGGCGAGATGAAGCTGGTGATGCACACCAAGCCGGCGTCTGCAAACAGCTTGGCCACCTCCGCGATGCGCCGGACGTTCTCCTCCCGGTCTTCCGGGCTGAAGCCCAGGTTTTTATTGAGACCCTGACGAATGTTGTCCCCATCCAAGGTATAGCAGGGGATGCCGTGGCACACCAGGTACTCCTCTAGCGCCATGCTCACCGTGGTCTTGCCCGCTCCCGATAAGCCTGCGGGGAACAGACCAGACGCCGTCAAGGCAGGAGAGAGCGGCAGAGTAACACAGCTCAGTGACCGGTTGGGGCCATTCGTCACGGCAGCCCCCAGTGACACGCGTGACCACTGTTGTCTGTAAGAATTGTCCTAAAGCTAGAATAGTCACTGAAATGTAAATAAAGTAAGTACTCATGCTTTTAATCATTCCTGCCTACGCCCAGAGGAATCCTAGAAATCTCTGGGTTTCCAAGGCTGACCTTTAGTGTCAGGCGTAACTGGGCTTCAATGTCTTTGCCTGCTTGTCAGAGGCATGCCCAATTTAAGAGGCTGTGATTTCTGGTGAGTGAAGAAAGAGAAAGGGAAAAAGTGACCAAGGGGAGACGGTTACACTGCTCTCAGGCGCGATGAGGTTCCAGTGCGAGTCAGCGTGCACAGTCAGCAGAGCCTCAACCCGTTCCGCAGGAGCCCCAGAGAGAGCTAACAGGCGTGACTCACTTGTTCCGCTCCACGGCCAGATAGAGGTGACTGCACACTGGAAGAAGGGTGACCCTGAGGTGAGGGGTCCCAAATTCAAAACTCAGTTATCTAAAGAAAGCCTCTTCCTCCTCACCATGAGTGAACATCCTGAAACCAGCCAGTGAGCTTCAGTCAAGACCACATTTCTTTCCCCCAACTGCTCACCACCCAGGAAGACTGAATTCTGATATTCTCAACCACAGACCCCCAAAACCTATAGAACCTCATCACCTTGTTAACCGAGGAGGCAGATTTCAGTTGATCTTGTCAAGGGGTTCGCCACAAAGCTGCTTCTGTTTCCTCAGAAGGCCAGAGTATGTATCTCTGGGCACTGGGTTACAAGCCTGTGCCTCGGTAGCTGGAAGTGAAGTAGCAGAAGCCATCTGTACCTCCCAGGGCCCACGGGGTTCAGTTTAGAGTAGATGAGCTGGGGAGTACATCCTCTGCCCACTCTCCTTCTGCACCAATAACGCTGACTCACTGGCAAGGGGAAGGAAGGAGAAGGAAACAGTGGTCTGGGGCAGGCGACACGCTGGCCCCTGAGCCTGTGCAAAGCGACAGAATCCAGCCGGCGGTAGTTAGGAAGGTGGGCAGGCGGCAAGAGTAAAATACGGACTCTAACAGGCCGATGCTCTGGAAAGAAAGGCGCTGGCAAAGAAGGCCAGCAGAAACAGCAGAGATGCGGGTGGGGGAGAGGAGGCTGACGAGCATATTAAATGTCCACTAATGTGAGGACAGCAGGCTGCATTTTCCCGAGAGGCCTGCCTCGCTGGGAGACAGCACACGGCCACAGCCAGAGGTAGCAGCCAAGTCCCTGCCCCAGCGTCCACTGGCTGTAGCACTCGTCCTGAGCACTGCAGGGAAGCTGGGCCCCGTGACGGGGCTCGTGGGCAGGTAACACAGGCCATGGCCTCAGCCCGCCGAGCCCCGAGCTGACAAGCTGCAACCCCACAGCAGCTCATGGGGCCTCGGCCCAGCCCAGGCTACTGCGACCAGGCCAGACAGCTGAGCCCTCTGGGCCCCTGCCAGGCAAACTGGAAAGCGGGTCACACTGGTGTGATCCAAATGCGGAAGTTGGGGGACTGTCATGTGGTTTTACCTAGAACGTACTTTCAACATGCATCCCAGCTTATCCCCTGTATCTGAACAGTAATCATGCTAGCGATTCAAAAGAACCGCTGAAAGGAAACCCAGCACCAAGCAGCTCCGTCAGTTACGTTCTGATGGTCCAGACAGCAGCACAAAGCTCAGAGGGCCCAGGCTGACTCCCTGTTCAGGGTGTCTGTACCCCGTGCTTTGCAATCAACTGGTTTCTCTCTCAACATACCTGTCAGCCAGACGGTGCAACCTCGAAAGCCACCTCTGGTCCCCACCACCTGGCCTCTCTTGTTCCTGCTGACATGGTGAGCTTGATAGGTGACGTTAGTTGCTCTCTGCATCCCCTAGGAAATAAAGAGAGATGTCTGGTTCACTTGAGTCCTTTCCCCACTACAGCTTTATACCTATTTGCTTGTAGACTATCACTACCCCACATCACACCAAAAGTAAGGAAGAGAGATCCAAACTGACAACGCGTTTGTCTTGGGAGTATTGCCGTGCTTTTCCGCACTGCACAGACAGCGATTAATTCCACCCTCACTGCCATACAGGGACACAGAGGCTCTGACGGTGGTTTCACAGGTGAGGAAGTCAAAAGCAAGATGCGTCCCCAGAACTAGGTAGCGTCTTCTCCTTCAACCACCCCTTCATTCAAGCACTGCTGAGGGGGCGCTTGGAGCACACCCCATGAACAGAACAGGGCCCTGCCCTCCCAAGCTTACATTCCACTGGGAGAGACAAACCAGTAAAACTCAGTTGTGTTGGCAGAGTTAAGGCCCTGCAGGTCAATCAGGAGGACGGAGAGGCCAGAGGTCTCTCCAGGAGGCTGCAGAGCAGGTTCTGGGGGCCCGTGGAAGCCCCGCAGCAGCCCCTCAGAAAGCACAATGCAAGTGCGTGGGTTATTACTTGTGGCTAGTCCACTAAAAAGGAGAAACAAAAATTTTCTTCTTCATAAATGGGGTATAAAATGACATCGGGCTCAAAGGACACGAACAGATATTTCTCCAAAGAGAAATGCAAATCCTAGTTGCATGCTGATGCCACTGCACACCTGGCTGCCAGTTGTCACTAAGAAGACCAACGTCCCCAGGGCCAGTGAGGACATGGAGGCCCCGGAACCCTCACCTGTGTACAGGAAGGAATGCAAATGGCACAGCGGCTCTGAAGAACAGTTTGTTCTCCAAATAGCATCACCAAGTGAGCAAACAGTTCTGTTCCCAGTTCTACACCCACAGGACATGAAAGTTTAATAGCAAAGTAAAAAAAATGAGAAGGGCAGGGGTGTGGGAGCAGGGAGGTGAATGGCTGGGGCAGGGGTGTGGGAGCAGGCAGGCGAATGGCTGGGGCAGGGGTGTGGGAGCAGGGAGGTTTATGGCTGGGGCAGGGGTGTGGGAGCAGG